ATCAAAAAAGCTAAACAAGAGAGTTTCTCTCAGCGAATTTCTCTTTAACACCTGATACCTATGTTATAAAAAGTGTCAAAGCACTTATTTCTTTGCTAAAATAACTCTTTCATTTTCTAGGAAATAGTAATGTTTGACATTGAATTTCGGACAACCAATATCCTCTATTGTACATAATTTCATCTCGCTTTAAATTGTTTGTATGATTATTAAAAATGATTTGAATTATGCTGTTATTAATATACAATATTGTATATTGGTCAGTATCTGTTATCATATATAAATCCTGTGCAGATATCATCTATGTTGTCAATTCGTTACACGGTTAGTACAACAGATTGACCTTTGCTCCACACTGTACAATATTTTGAACTCGTCGGCCATATGTTCTGCATCCTAATGTTTATTCTTACACTCAATACCTTTTAATTCAAAAGTCAATATATTATTCGCTGACCTTCTTAGTCTGGATTGTCACTTACCTGTGTATGGGTACATCCAACTGAGTTGCCCTGAATGGAACGAAACGTACCTGTTAGATCCTATCTATTTTTGAAATTGTGTGTTTCAGTTGTGAATAATGATGCGTATTTTTTATTACCGATATACTTAATGTAACGTGTATACAATATGTTGATATAGGACCTTGTAATATATTTTGCCATTTCTCAAAGAAAGCTGAAACTGATGGTGTAATTCACTGAGAAGTATTAAATAGCTTCTAAAAAACGTGTTTCCTCATTTTCAGTGCTCTTCAATGTTTAAGAATCATGCTTTTTACATTGATGTAGATTGATTTCATTGTTTAACAAAAGGAGAAAAAACAAATTTCCAATATCATCTTGAAACTGTAATTTTTATTATCTATAACTTGGAAAGTCATCAATTAGTCAGTTTTATTTACTAAAGTAACATAAAACTGCATGTCACCAATGAGCCTTTTAACCACAAATGTATGTCCAGTAGTTACAATGCCTTTTTTTGAATTTTTGGCAACATACCAATTAAAATCAAAGTGCAAAAGATTAGTTACTACTTTATATGAAATGCTCATTATAGTTCATATTAAAGGTGTTTGTTTGTTATTATTTTATAATAGTAGTATAAGTTTTTCTCACATGCTTTTCATCATATCCCATCTGTACTATAAATAGATTCAAGTTTTAAAAAATCCATGTCATATTTAGATGTACTGTAGATTACCCACCCATCTAGATATTTTAAATATGACTATTAGTAAAGAGTTGAAATCAATAAATCCTTGCAAACTGTTCTTCCGGTATAATACCTTTCCTATAAACTAGAAAGTTTAAAAAAAATTAAATCTGATTTTTTTGTTTGATTGAGTAAACATGACAACTTTATTCAGATGACACGCCTATACTAAGTAAACACAAACCGTAAGTAACTGATGCTAGCAAAGGCTATAATTTAAATGTCTAGACATGCAAATATCCAATAATATTTATACTACACTCCAAAAGAGATTGTAAAACTTATAATAGTTGGCCTATTTTATTAATATTTGCTGAATTGTATCTATTAGTTAGTTACTTATTTACTAAAACCAATACTAGTCAATATAGACGTTTTAAGTCAAGATTACATCATTCTTATTGATAAATGATCTAAAAATAAAAAAACATTATTGATTTATTTGTAATATATCATACCGTTTAAGTAGGGCAGGTCCTAATTAACTAATCAGTTAAATAAACAATTAGTAACTATTATCACTATCAATGTTGTTTAGGAATTTTAATATGAAAATCTAGAAAATTTTCTATAAACGATTTTGTTTTTACTCGTAAATTCATTAACAAAAATGTCACAATTTCTTTAGGCAATACTACAAATTACAATCACAATTAGCATTGCTTGAATTTAATTATGATTGTTATTTTAATAAAACATGAGAAAAAAACAAAAAAAAGAAAAAAAAGTAACAAGAGAAATTTGAATTTCAGTTGGTAACAAAAGTTGATTCTTTGTTTGTGTTTTTTTTTGATTAACTACAAAAGCAACGTAAAAAAATTAGCTAATTTAAATGGTTTAAATAGATGCAAAATTAGTTTGCATATTTTCTGATGAGCTTTTCTTAATTAAGGTGATGAAATTAAAGTGAAAAATTAATTATCATTGAAAGTCTTGTTTAAATTATTTATTAAAAATTTATTTAAATTAAGTTCTATTGACTTTCATTTAGAAAGTCACAATTATTCTAAATACATTTGTAAGTAAAGATATATAGTGAATAGCAGTGGAATCCAGGACGTGTGTTTTGACGTATTCGGGAGTTGATGTTTAGCCTGGGACGCGAACAAGCAGGTGGCTAACAGTACTCAATAACTAAGTGGATAACGCAATGGCGTTTGAAGCGAATGGTACTGGGTTCGAGTTCCAAAGTGAACAACAACTGTGAGATGCAGGCACATCCAATTAACGTGTCCCAAATAAGACGAAACGCGATTCCTGGATACCACTGTTAGCCACTATCCATCTTTGCTTACAATCATCGTGACTTAAGGCAATATCGAGGCAATCCGTACAGGATGCACATATGTCGACAAGAAACTGATCAATTGCAGTCCAAAACGTCAATGGGAAGATATATGCGAATAACAGCAAGTGAATTTATTCGACGTACCATTTCGAATTATTTTGCCGTGGGAACTAGTTTTATTCTGCCATAAAACATTTCTTTAGACCAGTATTTATTGAAAACTGTTATTTATTATGGCAGCCTATCTAACTCATAATCACTGTATTATTTAGACAAAAAATCATATTAACCCGATGATTTGATTAAAGTCAGAGTTTATTATTTTTTCAAATACGAATAATCAGGACTCATAATTTAGATAACCCTTGTAATCCTGGAAGAAGTGGACACTTGTTTCGTTCCATTGTGAGACTGAACACTCACGATGCACTAATAATGTATCGAACCCTAGACTTTCGGGTCTGCGCGAATTGCTTAAAACCAGACTTGTATACTGTTGTATCCCACCTAAAATGTTTGAAAAATGAGTATTCGCGCGCAAATACGGAGGTGCTAGGTTTGACTCTTTGGATGCGTACTGATGAGAAGTTACTTAATGGAACAAAACGGATGTCTAGTCCTACCAATTTTTCACTGGTTATCTAACTTAAACTGGGTCGTGATTTTAAGGAAATTGGATAATTCTTACAACCTTAAATTGATAAAACCTAATGTCTATCATCATAGTTAGCTAATGTCTCTGATGCACTAAGTTTAAACCCTTTTAAAAAAGAACTTTCGGGTTTAAATTCTAAATTCGAAACAGTTTGTGTGGTTGATGCTTGTGCATAGAAAAGTTATAATAACAGTCGACTAATTCCTTTCGGCACTGAAAGTGTCAAAAATAACTATATATGTATATATATATAGTTTATAAGAATGTAAAGAAATTTAGATACAACGATAAAGTTGATATGCCATTAAATACCTAAATATTTTGAAATATTTGTGTGTCGGAACTTTTTAAATGTATATAATGAAAGGATGGATATACTTTATGCAGATGAAATTAGTCTCTTTGTCGACAACCAAATCATATCAACAATTTTATTCCCCAACAAAATTTGTTGTTAAGGTTTTAAGATTTATTAAAATATGTTTTTGTCAAAAATAAGGCTATTTAAGTCTTTTTGCAATAAGGTATTGAGAATGTAGTGTATCATATTTTAAGGGATACTTTGGGTTTTACTACTATTTTTAGCTTTATTTCAGGTAGATTACGTCAATAAACTTGAAGATTTATGGAATAAATCAGTGTGTAAGCGGTTTTAGATAAAATAATGATTGCTGCTTGATATACTTACGTTTCCATTCCGTACATATAATCAACTGAATATGAGTTTAGTAATATAGGATAGAAAAAAAGCTGGACTTAAAATAATGTGTTTGATTGTAGGTTTATAATGTATATGCATTATCAGTTTCGTAATTCCATTTAACAAACAATAAAAAACCAACTTCCGTAATTATCATAATCATAAATACGTACTGTTTCCAAAGGTTTCTTTATTCCCATGAATGACAATATGAGCTTTTCAAAAAAATCCTTGATTATATCACGCTTCGTAATCAGTGCTTTTTAACTAAATTAGAACGTCTACTGTATTAGATATTTAATATCCTTTAGATTCCATTCTAGTGTGTTATCTCATACTGATCACATTGTTTGCTTAACGTGTGATAGAATGCTATACAAATAAACTTCATTCCAACAGTTGAGATCATGAGTCGATTGAAGCTAAACCACCATGGAAAACCTGGAAGCCTTGGACGGCCGTTTCGTTCTATTGTATGACCCGTCAGCAGTGAACATCCATGACCCCGCCTTGCGGGATTCAAACCCAGGACCTATGAGTCTCGCGCCAGGTGCTTAACCAACTAGACCACTGAGCCGACATCCAACGGTGTAAATGTCTAGCTTCGACTAATCCTCGAAATCTAGCGACACATCCATCATTGTCATCAGTGAGTTACTACCTCACAACTGACCCGGCCGAAGTCCATTGATCACTACTTCTCACTTGAAGTCCAGGAGGCGGGGTCGTGGATGCGCAATGCTGAGGAGTCCCACAATAAAACGAAACGGTCGTCAAGTGCTTCCAGATTTTTCATGGTAGTCTAGCTCCAATCGACTCATGATCCAAACTGTTGAAATTACTACAATCTCCACAAAACCCCTTCTGAAACTTTATTCCGTTTGTAATGTTAAGTCTTGATTAAAAACTATCCCTTATAGATTGCTTAGCACAACGTTAATTCCACTAATATGAGTCTATTGATTTGATATTTGTCCGCATTCAGCTTCATTGATGACTTAATTATTCAAGAAGGTGACATTGTTAAACAAAATTATCCCAGTTTTTTTATTCAAATACCAAGTTCAGCTAGATGATATATCATAAAGAAATGTTAATTTAAATAAAACAATTAATTAATAATTTGGTAATCATTAACTTACCAAACAAAAATAAAATATAAATGAATATCCTCATTGAAACGGACAATGAAAAATACATGTTGTATTTCATTTCGAAGTTAACCATGATTTGTTAAGTTTCTTTCTTTTAAAATGAAATCATACTTTATCCTTAAAAGAAATAATCCCTAATTTATTTACAGAGAATTTGTTGATTATCATTAACAATCTTTTCCATCACTAGATATCATTTATTCAATTAGATAAGTAGTAAGTTATATCATAAAATTTGAATATACATGTAGTTTTGTAAGTAGTAGGATTTGAACTGATTTAATTTATATCATTTGTTTTGTATGTAACTGTACTCTAGGAAAACTGTAATGTAGTACATAGAGTATGTAGTAAATCCTCAGATATACATAATGAATAGAATGAGTACTTAATTTATACTATATGATATACAATCTCTTTTTTTATATAAGAAGCATGTACATGATATATAAAAGAAGATAACTTTACAAGTTGTAATTTAGATGACGATATTGAGATTTATAAACATTGGACATTGTATCCCATAAAATTTTAAGTATATATATAATCACTCATTATCTTCAGCACTCTCTAAATATTCGGACTATTTTTTCCTTAATAGAAATAAACATTCAAGTTTATATCTTCAGATATCTTTTTCTTTTCTTTTGTTTTTCTCTCGTTACCATACTTTATCTTTAAAAATGTCAACTATACTAGTTAGTACACAACAAAATAAGTTAAAAGCAGTTTTATTGGAACACAGTACACGCATTTTTTCATAGGAGGAATTAAAATGTATTAACTAAAAGACAAACACATATATACATATATATAGGAAATAAAACAAAAAGTTATAATTCACATTTTGATAAGTTTTAGTTCACATCATCTGTGATTGGTTGCTAGTTGGAACTAGGTGTTTATAAATAAATTGAGTGCAATATATTAGTTATTGTGCCAAGAAAAGTAAAATAATGAAACTAATTTTTTCTGTTTTATTTTTTGAGATATTAATAAATTTAATTGAATATTGTTTTAATTTAACAAAATTGTGTCAGGAACGTTAGATCCCCAGAACACACTTGGGAAAGAACCTAATTTTGTAATTTTATTTAGAAAATTTGAATTTCTTTGTTTTCGCACCAAAGGCGTTCTTGCCACCTTCATGTCTCACTTCCCGCTTGGAAATATCTTAAATGCTATCGGTCCGTTGCGTCTTTTAATATGCTATTTGGTAACTCTCCCCAAGGACGGTTTTGTACTGTATATATATATTTTGAATTGTTTGTTGTGACCGCTCGTTTCTGGCTGTTTGCAGAATATACTTCCCCACTCCAAGCTTGGACTTTTCCCTCTAGACACATCAAATAGCCAGCTTACTGGTATTTGGTCACTGAGTTTTTGTTCTCGTTCGTAGACGAAGTGAACTCGTGATAGCTTCAACGCTAGCAAAATGACAGTTTCTAATGAACACCTTTTTAAAAGTACTTGTGGTATATAATTGTGTATGATTACCGTTCTCATATTATTCCTAAACTTTGATTTACAACTTTCTGCTTATATACATACGATTTATTTCAACTATTTTTAAGTTCAAAGATAAGACTAGTATACTACACACAAAAATAGAGTGAAAATATCCATGAAGACAAATCTGGTAGAGCAATTGTTACATAAGATTTCAAGCTCATGAATACACAACATCTAGAGAAAATTGGTTCGTTTTATGTCTTTATGAGAATAACGTTTGTCATAAGCTGTTTTAAAACTTATATGCTTAGAAATCACCGTTAAAACGTAATAACTTTAAAGGAGATAGCGGAATAGTGAACAAGTTACTGACTAATAATTATTATTATTTTGAAATGATCGGATCGGGAATTATTATAAATTTTGAAGATTGTGTTTGCTGTTTCAGATTGTCAACGTTGACTACTGAAGAGTTCGTAAAAACACTAGGACCTATGATAAAGGCACCACAACATGATGAAAGTTAATTTTAAACCAAATAATGCTATTTGACCGCGTAACAAGTAGACAACGACATATCGGAGGACTATAATGATGATTTCGTTTTAACTAAAAACTATAAATACCTGACAGTTTGTACCATAATTGACACTGCTTGGAATAACATTCCTTTCAATTGTCTTCTGTCTTCTCATTTTCGACTTAAGAGTGTTCTAGCATCGAGTGCTCAAGTCATACGCGGTATAATAAGAATCTAAGCTCTAGATATAAGTTTACTTTTCATACTACATGAAATTGTTTCTAATCTGTTCACAAGACGTATGTTCAATCAATTCCATTGCCGTAAACAATTACTATTATCAAATGTTTTGGTTAGAGTATATACAGCATACTATACCTCCTTCTAACTAATGGATCGTTCTTAAAAATTCATCCTTTTTGTTATTCTTCCCACTGAGGTTTAAGACTGAAATTGATCAGTCTCTTTTTTAGTATATGTGCATAATGTGAGTATGCCTCGATGGTGCCTTAATTCACAAGCTTTTATAAACAAAGGTGGAAAGATACAAGCAAAACTATACCAAGTGAATTTATACCGCAACCCATTGCACAAGCTAATGGCTATCAGGACTCAGTAGCTAAGTGGATAACACGATGGCGTTTGAAGCGAATGGTGCTTGGTTGGAGTCCCAAAGTGGACATCAACACTGAGATGCAGGTACATCCGTCTGACGAGTCCTAAATGGGACGAAACTCACGTCCTGAATTCTACTGCTAGCCACTATCTATCTTTGCTTATAATTAGTACTATTACTTCCAAATTATTAAGAGCTTAGAAGGATCTGCAAAAAATGGTGAATTCTCCTAAGATTGCAGTTATTCAAATAGTAAGGAAATTAATCGCATTTAAAATACTGTTTTACGATTTTCATAGTTGTATGTCTACTTCGACAAAAAGTACGATAAACCGATTCCAAGAACCAATTTCATTTTTGAATTTACATTATTCGTGAATCGGTCAATTAAATGTGCACCATATAAATAAATACATAAGTTACAAAAATATTGATAGTGAGGTGACATCAGTTCGAGATATTTTATAAGACAAGAAATAACGAATAATTGTTTTAACCTATTTTTCAACTCTTCCAGATTATACACTTATCATTGAATTGAGTAACATCCGGTCTTATGGTCACTACAACTCAATTTTCCTACAGTCCTATGTTGCATATAATACATTTCTCATTTTCGCAGTATATCTTTCCCATCCATTACTATTAATTAATATGAACGTAAAGTTATGAAAAATTTCAATTATGACGAATAACCTCTTTAATTATTAAACCAATAAACTTCTTAAACAAATACCTGTTTGTCATATAGTGACACATTTAAACATCTAATACCTTGACCTAAAAATAAACAAAAACAATTTATGTATTTTTATTTAAAAAAAGTAAATAAAAATGTCATAAGCATATTGGTTCAACAAATTTAAAACATTCATTGTACCAAGTTCATAAACAATCTATTAGCATGAAAATGAAAGAATAATGTATGAAATTTATAAATTAACATTTGAAGATGTTAACAAGAGATGAATTAAAATGTTAAGAAATATCGACATTTAAACATTGTTTAGTTGTCTAGTTATTTTGTTTTACCATAGACAGATATTTCTATGTTAACAAGTTAGAATATCGGACAAATATATTGTTCTTTGCATCCTTACTACATTTAAGCAAAAAGAGTTAGAATGTTAGAGAAAACCTCAAAGGATGAAAAAAATTGTTTAAATAATAATATAAACAGAATGCTAATCAATATGGTTTACTCAGAGTTGACTACTCCGTCTTTGTCCAGTTTTAGATATTTATAATTTCCCATAACGTAATATGAGAAAAGGTCAACAGTTTTTAATAAAGACTGAACTGACCAAATATAAATAAATAAATAAATTTCACTATTGTGTTCGATGATGAGCTGTTTTGTTTATAGTTACTAGTGTGGTATGTGCTATCGATGTCGACAGATATAAGTAGTAAGCATCATCAATGGAAAGTGAAGAGAGACTACAAATAAAGAACGATTGTTGTAGGAATAAAAGAAGTCTGAGACAATTGACTGATATTTGCAAAAAGAACAGTTAAGTTTTAAACATTGACATTTTGCAAATGAATTATTTACTGTATGGTTCTCATATTTTACTAAGATGTTCTGTCATTTTATATTCAAATACATCCGATTGTCCCCACTTTTGTTCTCGTTCAGTACACTATCAATAATCTCTAGTTAATACCCAATATCAGAAGGGGTTTTGTGGAGATTTTAGAAATTTCACTGATTGAAATCATGAGTCAATTGAAGCTAGACCACCATATAAAACCTGCATGCACTGGACGGCCATTTCGTCTTATTATGGGACTCCATAGCAGTGCACTATTGAAATCACTAAAATCTTCACAAAACTCTTTCTATAATAATCATCTCATTAGTGACTGACTTCAGGAGATACTCTTGGAGTTCTAGTTAGATGTCGTTACCACTGGCGTTCAACCAGGTCTGTTGTGAGAAATCAACTCACTGAAGACAATGGTGTATGGTAGTGCAATTTCGTGGACTGGTTGGAATTAGACATTAACATCGTTGGATGCCGGCTCAGAGGTCTAGTTGGTCAAGCGTCTGGCGCGAGACAGATAGGTCCTGGATTCGAATCTCGCGAGATGCGGGATCGTGGACGTGCTCTGCTGAGGAGTCCCATACTAGGACGAAACGGCCATCCAGTGCTCCCAGGTTTAGCATGGTGGTCTAGCTTCAATTGACTCATGATTTCAATCAGTGAAATACTCAATAACCTAATAAATAATAAATTTGACAGCTTTCATGACTAAACTTTCGGATTCAAATAAGAAACCATTAGTTATTCAAAATTATGATTATAAGCTTAAAATACTTTAATTTTGTTAACTAACTAATCAATTTTAGCAAATCTCCTCTCTATGCAATTCTATGAACAATGATATGAATTTTGAGAATAAAATGTTAAAATCTAATTTAAACAATAATATCTATGTTAAATCTATGAATTCAAAAGTTTATGTAATGTCAAACAATAAATGAACATGAGAAATTACAGCAATAGACACGTGTTATTACGTGTTTAGGATTACAATTTGTTTTTTTTCCTTTAAAAATCAGTTCTAGACATGAATATGAATAAATATATGCATGATTATTTGACATTTTATATGTACTATTATTATTATTATTATTATTATTATTATTGTTACTATCGAATGGTATTCATTAGTTTCATGTACATTCATAATTGTTAAGGCTAACATAGATATTTTTTTCAAAATAGATAATCAGTAAATGACGGTATTTTATTATCTTTCTCATAGAATAATCATCTGATATATTCAATGATGAAGATTTTTAAGCTAATTCATTATTTTGTATTAACCAATTCACAACTACATTTTACATAATGTAATAAGATATCTTATATTATCATTGTAATAATTTGTAAGATTTTAATCTTGAACAATAGATGAAATAATCTATATTATTATATTGAAACTGTATAGTATGTAAGGGAAAACAGAAAGATTAATTGAACAGATTATAAAGAGATTTAAGCTTCTCATATGTAAACTAGTTACATGTTCAATCAATAGTCTTAATTCAAATTTCCATTGAATAAAAACATATTATCATATATAAATGATCTAACTGATGCATATTATTTTATTGTTACCGCATGTATAAATCGTCACCTAGATTTAAAGATTTATACAAAAAAAGTCAAT